ATGCGGCTCTTCGACGTCCGGCCCGACGCCTTCGTCTACACCTCGCTCATCAACGCCGGCGCCAAGGCACCTTTACCTTCTCCTCGTGTGCGTGTGCGGTCATGCGTGTGCGATCGTGAGTGTATGTTAACCGCCAAAGTGCGCCAGGCGGGTGAGCCTGAGCGAGCGCTGGCGGTGATGGAAATGATGAAGACCGACGGCGTGAAGCCCAGCGCCATTACCTACAACGCCCTCATTTCGGCGCTCGCCTCCAAAGGTGCCCGCCTGCTCTCTCCGCCATGATTGAACCGTACCCGGGTTGGGCCGACTGACTTCATGTCCGTGTGCGGTGCGTGTGCGGTGATGGTCGCGTATGACAGAGAACCGGGACGTGGAGGCCCTCGTACGGCTGGTCGACGAGATGAAGTCCCAGGGACTGACGCCCAGCGTGGTGACCTACAACACCCTCATTCTCGCCTGTCGCGGGCCTTCGGCCCACCGCGGCGGCGGCCACGACGACGGCGACGACCGAGAGGAAGACGAAGCGGAGGAGGAGCGACGATTGGAGCGCGCGCTCGGCCTGCTGCACGATATGAAGCGCGAGGGCCTCACGCCCGACGTTATCACCCTCCACAGCCTCGTGCGCGTCGCCATCCACGACGACGAAGGCGACGCCGGCAACCGAACGCGACGACGACGACAGAAGAACGCCGAAGACGAGGACGCAGGCGCTGGTGGAGGAGGCGATGCGCGACGGCAGCGGGGCGAGGCGGCCGCGAGGCAGGTCGACCGGGCGCTGGCGCTGATCGACCGGCTGACCGCCGACTTTCCGGGCCTGACGCCCAACGCCCACCTCTACAATGGGCTCATCGCCCTCTGCCAGCTGGGCGGCCGAGCCGACAAGGCCACCGCCCTCTACCGCCGTATGCGCGAGGCCGGCCTCCAGCCCACCATCGACACCTTCCGCTCCCTCCTCTCCAGCCTCGACCACCACAACGACGACCAGGCTGAGGCCCAGACGGCGGCGGCAAAGCAGGCGATGGAGCTGCTGGAGGAGATGAAGCGTGACGGGCCGGCGCCGACGCCGGCGATCTACGGAAAGGTGATCGAGGTGGTGGTGCGCGGGCGGGGCCGTGGTGGGTGGGACGAGGCGTGCGGGCTGGTGCGGGAGATGGAGGCGCGCGGGCTGCTGGTGAGCGCCAAGGTCTACAACGTGCTCCTCGGGGAGAGCGTGCGGGCGGGCGACGCCCAGCGCGCGCAGGAGGTGCTGCGCGAGATGCGGCGCAAGGACGTGCCGGGCGACTACAAGACCTCCCTCCTTCGCAAGGAGGCCGAGCGGCTGCACTGACTTTCTGACGTCAGCAAAGAACGAAGGCGACAACAATAAAGAACGAAGAAAAACGGCGACAGCAAAGAACGAAAGCGCTGGTGAAGAAAGAATGAAGACGACCAACGCCGCCAGGTCAGATGGTCAACGAAACGACGGCGCCGGTGCGCGCTGACCGGATGCCGGCCTCGAGCACCGCAATCTGGCGCCGCACCTGGTCCACCGTCACCCCCAGATCCTCCTGGTTGTCGGCTGCGGCGGTCCCGGCGGTGGTCGCCAGGCGGCGTCGCACGTCCTCGTAGTAGGACTTCCACCGGCCGGGCTCGGAGGGGACGACCACCTCCTCGCCGGTGGCGCCCCGCTTGAGGCGGCCCCACTGGGCCGAGTCCTCAAC